AACAATGGCAACCACCCAAATACAGGATCCCACCTCGGATCCATTTTATCTCCATGGTTCTGAACAACCTGGACTCCTTCTGGTAGGTGAGAAGCTGACCACCACCAATTACAATGACTGGAGCAAAGCGATGCTTAATGCTCTGGCCGCCAAGAACAAACTTGGCTTCATCAATGGCGCCATTCCAGCCCCTGATCCCACTGATCCTCTGTTCTCTTCTTGGAGTCGCAACAACATCATGGTCCTCAGCTGGATTCAACAGGCTGTTGACCATGGCATCAAGAAGACCATCATGTCTGCCAAGCTCGCCTCAGAAGCTTGGACAAGTCTCAAAGCTCGTTATGGTCAAGGTGACATGATCCGTGTTGCCGAGCTAATTGAAGCCATTGGCACGATTAAACAAGGTAATCAAACCGTGACTGAATACTATGGAAATCTTATTGCTCTTCAAGATGAGCTGGACAACTATCAGCCCATCAATCCATGTCGTTGCACAGAGACCAGTTTTGTTGATTGTGCTGCTATGACTGCTGTTCTTAGCTACCGTGATGTCAACTCTGTTGTTCAGTTTCTTCGTGGTCTGAATGATAACTATGCTACTGTTCGCTCTCAAGTTCTGTTTGGAGACACATTACCACCCATTGATAGGGTTTTTCAGAGAGCCTTACAACATGAGCGCCAACTCTATGGCACTCAACAAGGCAAAACAATCACTGCTGAAAGCTCAGCCTTTGCTGTTCAGGGGAACAAACGTTTTTTCCCTCCTGGGAAGCGCCCCCATTGCACCTTCTGCAACAATCCAGGCCACACTGAAGACACATGTTATCACAAACATGGTTGGCCCCCAGGATTGTCCTCTCGAGGTTCATCCATGACTCAGAACCCATCAACCAAACCACCAGAATGCACATTTTGCAAACGGATTGGTCACACTGAAGACAAATGCTTTAAGAAGCATGGCTATCCACCACCTTCTCAAGCCAGACCACCTCCCATCCGCTCAAGAGCAATGGCAAACACCACTGACAGTGGTTCATCTTCAGAACCTCAACCTGAGTTCAAGCTTACTAAAGCTGATTATGACAGGCTAATGTCTCTTATGTCTGACAACCTCAAGGGCAAACAGGCTCATTCAGCAGCACTTACCACTCACTATGAACCTGATCCCTCAGGTAACCATTCTTGCTATTTACTCAACAATAGCAATTCTGCTACTCCTTGGATACTTGACACAGGGGCAACTGACCACATTGTCAGTTCACTCAGTTTTTTACATACATCCAGAAAAGTGGATCACATTTACATAAACTTGCCCACTGGAGATCGAGTACAGGCCACTCACATTGGCCAGGTGCTTTGCCTCAATGGTTTGGTCCTTGAGGATGCACTATTTGTCCCAAATTTTACTTTCAATCTCATATCAGTGAGCAAGTTAACCACCACCAGACCCCTATGCTTAACCTTCTCTTCTGACTCTTGCACAATACAGGATCTGGAGCTGAAGAGAGTGACTGGTTCTGCTAAGCTTTCCCATGGCCTTTACCACATCAATCTTAACCTAGCTAGTCTACCTAAACACATCACAGCTGCTGTTAGTTCCCCTACCTTAGACATTTGGCATTTCAGACTTGGACATGTTTCCCATAGTCGAATTCCTCCATTGAATCAACTTTGTTCATCCATAGAAACCAACAGCAGCCTCCCTTGTGATGTTTGTCATTTTGCCAAACAGAAGAGGCTTCCTTTTCCTTCAAGTTCAACTGTATCTACATACTGTTTCCAACTTATACATGTTGATATTTGGGGCCCCTACTCTTATCCTACCTATGATGGTCATAAATACTTCTTAACTATTGTAGATGACCATTCCAGGATGACATGGATCATCCTTCTGCCATCAAAGGCTGAAACCAGACCTAAACTACAACAATTCTGCACAATGGTTAAAACAAAATTCCAAACAAATGTCCAAACCATTCGTAGTGATCAAGGTCTGGAATTTCAAATGTCTGATTTCTTTGCTCAATCAGGCATAACACATGAAATGTCTTGTGTGGAAACTCCACAACAAAACAGCAAGGTGGAACGTAAACATCAACACATCCTAGCTGTTGCTAGGGCCCTAAAATTCCAAGCCAATCTTCCAATAGGCTACTGGGGTGAATGTGTTAAACATGCTGTTTTCCTAATCAATCGAGTCCCAACCCCAGTCCTAGCCAATTTCACACCATACCAGAAACTATACAACAAACCACCAAACCTCCAAGACTTAAAGGTCTTTGGATGTCTCTGCTATGCATCCACCCTCAAAAACCATAGAACCAAATTCCAAGAAAGAGCCAGAAAATGTGTTTTCCTAGGCTATCCTTCAGGCATAAAAGGCTACAAACTATATGACCTTCACTCTAATGAGGTCTTCATTTCCAGAGATGTTCAGTTCTATGAAACTGAGTTTCCATTTCAACCCAGCCATACCACATCCCCAGACCTACAAACCACTCCTCCTCCTCCATATCCAATCCCACCTACTTCTGCTCCAGATGACCCACCTCCTATCTCACCACCTCCCAGTCCTCCCATTCCATCACCACCTCCCATTCCCACACCACCTCCTAGTCCTCCTCCCCCTCCCTCCACACAATCTGATCTTCCCATAGCCATCAGAAAGCCACCTAGAACAATCAAACCTCCCACCAAACTACAACATTACCATTGCAACCTGCTTCAGCAGACTTCTTCCACTGGTCACTCTCTGCAGCAACAGATCACAGGTATTACCTACCCTTTATCTGATGTTTTGGATTACACTAATCTCTCACCTCATCACCTGAGGTATATCCTAAACATTTCATGTCATAAAGAACCAGAGTCATATGAGGAGGCAGCTCTCAGTCCTGAGTGGAACAATGCCATCAATCATGAAATTGATGCCCTTGAAAGAAACCAGACATGGGATGTGGTGTCTTTACCACCACAGAGGAAACCATTAGGAAACAAATGGATCTTCAAATACAAGTTTCTCTCCGATGGAAGTCTTGAAAGAGAGAAAGCCAGATTGGTTGCTAAGGGCTATAATCAACAGGAAGGGATCGACTACCAGGATACTTTTGCTCCTGTGGTCAAAATGACCACAGTGAGATTGTTTCTGGCTATTGCAGCATCGAAATCATGGCATGTTCACCAGCTAGATGTGAACAATGCCTTTCTTCATGGAGACCTCACAGAAGAAGTCTACATGAAGCTTCCCAAAGGCTACAAGCCCCCACCACACATTCCCAATCCTGTTTGCAGACTCAAAAAGTCCCTTTATGGACTCAAACAGGCATCAAGACAATGGTTTGCTAAGTTGGCAGATTGCTTAATTCAACAGGGGTTCCAGCCCAGTCAAGTTGATCATTCTCTTTTTACAAAGTCAGTTGATACATCATTCACTTCTGTGTTAGTCTATGTTGATGATCTCCTAGTTGGAGGCAATGACATGGGTGAAATCAGTCAATTGAAACAGGTCCTTCATCAGACATTCAGCATCAAAGATATGGGTCCACTCAAGTTCTTTCTAGGCATTGAAGTTGCCAGAAATTCATCAGGTATTCATTTATCACAGCGGAAATATACACTGGAGATATTGGAAGAAGCAGATGTTCTTCTATCCAAGCCTGTTTCTACCCCAATGGACTACAAACTCCACCTATCATCCAATCATTCAGACCCCTACCCAGATCCATCTTTCTACAGAAGATTAGTTGGCAAACTAATCTATCTAACCACAACACGCCCTGATATCAGTTTTGCTACACAACAGGTGGCTCAGTACATGTCCAATCCTAGCAATCAACACTATCAGGCAGTCACAAGAATTCTGAAATACCTCAAGTCTGCGCCTTCCACTGGTCTTTTCTTCCCCTCTACATCAGATCTTCACCTCAAATCCTTCAGTGACTCAGACTGGGCAGCCTGTATGGACACCAGAAGATCAGTGACTGGCTACTGTGTCTACCTTGGCACTGCTCTCATCTCTTGGCGCAGCAAGAAGCAGAAAACAATTTCCAGATCTTCTTGTGAGGCTGAATACAGGGCCATGGCTGATGCCACATGTGAATTGCAATCCCTTCTCTATCTCCTCCGTGATTTCCAGGTGCATCACCAACAGCCAGCCATCCTATACTGCGACAATCAATCAGCAGTCCACATTGCCGAGAATCCAACATTCCACGAAAGAACAAAACACATAGAACTTGATTGTCACCTGGTCAGGGAAAAACTGCAGACTGGAACCATCAAGCTGCTTCACGTTTCTTCACTGCACCAATTGGCCGACATCTTCACCAAGGCCCTCCCACCTGCCCTTTTCTCCGATCTCCTCTCCAAACTTGGTGTGCACAATCTCTGCCCACCAGCTTGCGGGGGGGTATCAGAGAAAAAATCAAATTTTTCAACCGCCATTTCAACGGCTACAAGAGGAAGCAGCTGGTCCGATGTCGTTTCAGGCAAAGCAAAGCGCGAGATACCTGGAACGCTGCCGTCTCAACTAAACGGGACGAAGAAGGTCGAAACGCCGCCGTTGCTGTCTACCGAAACCAAAGAGAATCAAGACGTCGTCGTTGTGTCCTGAGGCCACAACGTCTCTTTCCTTTGTTCAGTTTCTGTTCCCTCCTTTCTCTGCATTTCGTACCTCTGCTCTGTCAAATTCACAGCTAGTAATCCTTGTCCTGTAATGAACAAACGATGTATATAAGATCGATCAAAATCAATGAGAACACAAGTTTAGGGTTTCCAAGGCATACCTGTTGTTAATTATCCCCGTCTAATCCCTCATGGCTTCCTCTCCATGATTTTTTTATTTTATTTTTATTTTTTATAATGGCTTCCTCTCCATGATTATTTGGTTGTTCTTGTTTTTGCTAATTATGGCTGCAATATATTCTTACTGTTAATTGTGTGAGTTCTCCATATTAGCTGATCAACTTTGTTAGTGCTTGCAAATATATGTTGTACCAGATATGGAACCTGCAAACAATGATGTTCAGAGCAATGATGCTGGACCTGCAGTAGGAAAGAAAAAAGGTGAGTACACGCAATGGACACCAGAGCAGGATGCTGCTTTGATTGAAGCCATGCTAGAGCTCACTGAATCACGAGAAGTTGAAGGTGGGAAGTTCAAAGTTTCTGGATTCAGAAAACTAGAGGCCATGATTCGTAAGAAGATGCCAAACTTTAAATTGAAGGCTCAGCCGCACATCCAATCAAGACATCGGTTCTTTAAAATCAAGTACGCTGCTATATGCGAGGTACAAGGCGGGAGCTGCAGTGGCTTTGGTTGGGATGAAAGCAAGAAGCGCGTGATTGCAGATGATGATGTATTCAATGAATGGATTAAGGTACAATATTGTTTATCGTAACATGTTTACACAAGTGTTTATATGTTGTTCGTAACATAGGTGAACATGATCTTCAAATATGGTTTTGTAGAGTCATCCGGGATGCAAAGGACTGAACAAAAAACCATTCCTATACTTCGACCAGCTTGCAAGAATTTTTGGGAAAGATAGGGCAATGGGTGGTCAGGCACAAACATCCGCAGATGTTAGGGAAGTCATAGCTGATCATAATGGAGAACCTTGTGTTGACTTGGATGAGGAAACAACCCAGAGTATCCTGGAGGATATGGTTCATGATGAGGTTGATCACAGGACTTTACTGAACGATGAGAGTGATGCTGGTAAGACTCAGCCTGGAACATCAATTGGAAGCAACAAAAAGCCAAGGCATGAAAGAAATGTAGCAGTCATAACTGCAGTGACAGCTGAGATTGGCAAATTGCAGCCGGTGATGGAACAAACAGCTGCAGATGTTCATAGGATTGCCAATAGCTTTTGCATGGAGGATGATCTGATTGCTAGGCGTAGAAGTTTGTTCGAGGAGTTATCCAAAGTCGAGGGCCTTACCAAAAATCAAGTTTTACAAGCTGCAATGGTACTAGTGAAGGATGTTAGTCTTGCTGATCTTTATTACCAACTTCCAACAGAAGATCAATTGAGCTTTCTCTTGCAACTCATCAACTGAAGAGAGCCACGTTATGAACGTACTGTGGTGTCTACTTTGGTTGCGGCAGCTGGTATAAATCGGATGAAAGTAGTAGTTTTCGTGATATTTTGCAACCTGCAGACTAGAAGACAGAATTCTAGCTTGTTGGATCATATTTTGAAACTTAATTTGGATCATATTTTGTTGCTGTGACTTTCGAACATAACAGCTTGATTCATTATCTACTGTTTACAGGAGATTTTCTTTTATTTCTTGTGCCTTGGCTGCATTTCCCCCCTCTATACATGTTTGATATTGTGTTTGCAGGTTGTATTCTGAATTTATGATATATGCAGCAACCAATGGTGAGTTGCTCAGCATGAGTGACGAAACAGAGAAGGTTGTTAAGTGAGGATGTTATGTGTTGCACCATGTGTTAGTTAGAAACTGAAATTGGGTTTTACTTTGATTTTGCCGCCTTCTTTGTTGAGGGCAAGTGAGTCATTTAACTGAAATTTAGATATTATATTTTTACTAATCACAATTACCAAACACTGAACTTTTTAGAATCATATCCATACAATCTCAGGAGTTAAAATCTCTAGATTCATTAAAATCTCTAGATTCATACTCTCATTCTCCAAACGACCCCTAAAAAAACAAATGAATTTATTGGATTCAAATATGAATATTTGAATGTGGATGTTATTTATTTAATTTATGTTGAATATCGGGTTTGTCATTTTATTTGTAATGTAATATGATATTTAAATATGGATGGAGATTATAGGTATATTATCTTAAATAGATTATATATAAATGCACAATTAATTTGGTATTAATAGTTTTTACTTCCTCGTATGTTGTGTTAAACCCGACATATAAACTGATTGCACTAGACCATATCACTTGCTAAACCAGCATAATGGTATAGACTGGTTCAATAACCTTGACAAAAGCCAAAAGAGTTGTAGCATGGTCGTCACATACTCACATTGATGGAATGTTAGTCGGTTGAAGGCATGAACACTACCAGTATGACCGACATTATTGATTTACGACCTCTAAGCAAAATGTCATCATTTTAATTAATTTATTTACTAAAAAATAATTAATTATTTTATGAATTTAAATGTTAAATTTTTATGATATATATTGCTTCAATAAATATATAGATATTGACGTTAAAAATTGTATTTAGATATGAATATTTTATTTAAATATAAATTATTAATAAATAGTATATATATTCTGCTTATTTTATTAAACTAACATGAATCAGAACAAATGAATTGTACTAAACTCCTTGCAGTTCACGTTGGGTCGGGGATGCGCTATTCACATCACCGTGTATATAATCACTAAATCACCATCCGTTGACTCACTCCGGTGAATAGATTATCTCTAGGGGTGGGCAACGGGAAACGGGTATTTGGGTATACCCGTACCCGTCCCGTTTTTTAAGGGTTACGGGTACCCATATTACCCGTAATATTTTAAACGGATGGGACTTGGGATTGTACGTTCCTAATATGGGTACCCGCGGGTTACCCCCAAATACCCGTTTGGGTAATGTGGGTACCCATTATACCCATTCAAAACTCAAAAGGCAAAATTCATTTGAGCCCACAGTGACAGCGGCACAGCCCAGCCCAATGCCCCAATTCGCTAATTCTGTTCACTGTTCAGGCCATTTCAGCCCTTACCCATAACCCATTTAGTAGTTTTAGTTACCCTTTCTGCCTTTCAATTCCCTTAATCCCTTTCACTTTCAGTCTCAGACAGTGAGACTCATCGACAGCCGACAACGAGACCTACCGAAGGGTGAAAACGCCTCTGGTGGCACCAAAAGAAGGGACTGGTGCCTTTAATTTAATTTGCAAAGCATGCTTGTAAGCTTCAAAAGCATGTATCAATATTTATCCTTTGAATAAAGTTTCATCTCTTTATGAGTGGTATGGATTTTGTGTCTTGTGATTGTTGAAAAAGTACAAGTTAAGTTTAAACTTTTGTTAAAATTTTAGTGGTTTAAACTTTGGGTATTTATGGGTAGTATGGGTACCCGTTTCCGTCCCGTACGGGTAATGGGTACCCGTTTCCCATATGGGTTTGGGATATGGGAAGAACTTTGGTCTCCAAACGGGACTGGGTACCCGTTTCAAACGGGACGGGTATCCCGTCCCGTCCCGTTGCCCACCCCTAATTATCTCATAAGATTTTGCAGTTCCTGCTCGATCGCCTCCGATTTCCCCCCAAGTCCCAGCTCCGATTTCAAGATGAGTGGAGAAGAAGACACCAAGAACAGAGGATTCGTTGTAGGTCACCAGCACCATCCTCCTCCTCCTTCTCAGCCTCCCCAGTACGGTACCTTTCAAGGCGTCGCTAACTACCCGCCACCTCCGCCGCAGCCCGTCATCGGCTTCCCTCAGCCGATGCCACCTCCCGGCGCCGCTCACTCATCCTCCCCCGGCGCCGCCTCCCAGTACTATACTCAAGGCTACCAAACCGCCCCTGGTATATCTCTCGTTTCCCCCCCTCAATTTTAGTCCCGATCTATTCGGTGGCTTTGAAATTGGTTCGAGCTTTACTGACTAGCTAGTGGGCTGATCATTGGTTCAGGATATGCCGTTGCTGAAGGAAGACCTGTGCGGGAGCGGCGACTCCCTTGCTGCGGTCTAGGTCTCGGCTGGGTCTTGTAAGTTTTTTACCAAATTTGCCGCTGAAGTGCCTCCCTTTTTCAACTATTTTGAACATCTTGACCTCTGAGAACTCCACTTCATTGGATTATGCCTTGTTGCACAAAATCACAGAGATTTAGAAGTTCGTTTACGGTGGTGGGATGTTTTGACTTGATGGATTAGGATTATGAGACATAAGTGTATGCAACGAGATAGTTCTACAATGCATTTGGTGGCTAAACTGGTAGCTTCATAAATACTGGAACGAAAATGTAAGGATTATAGTGATCTATGTGATGCATCTGATCTCTGGGGATGAGTGCAAACACCAGTAGTAGTGGATGCAGGGATGGAAAAGCATGTTAGGAAGACTAAGATGTGATCGAATAAAAATAGGCAATCTCTTAGAAGAAACAACTGAGATTCTATGTTTGCAACTACTAGGTCCTGATTATTGCTGATTTACCTCACTACCCAGAAAACAATAGAAGGGAAACCTCATTGTTCAGCACTTGGTACTGTGTTTTTCAGACATCGGTTCTCACTAGTATTGTTGATAGAGTTTTGTTGCAAGTGCTCGCTCATTCAGGTGTATAGGTGCAAACACTTGTTAGTTTGGACTATAACAATCTGTCCGATGGATCTTTTCCCTGGTACCATATTATTTATTATGTATAAGTGCATTCTTCGGAGCAGATAAACCCGAGTGCACGAATGATTTCGTAGTTAGGCAGTTCTCGTTCCTGCAACTTGTGCAGTGTGTTCTAGTAAAACCGGTAGTTCATGTTAATTCTGCTAATATTCATGACACGTCAAGACATCTACTTTTAGTCTCATAATACTTCATTTGCTCTCTTCACTTTATTGATCTGCCCCTTTTCTACCCTGTTCTTGAAGGTTCATCATTGGTTTCTTTCTTGGCGCCATCCCCTGGTACCTTGGGCTCTTCGTTCTACTCTGTGCACAGATAGATCCCAGGGAGAAACCTGGATACGTTGCTTGTACAATTGCTGTAAGTAGAACCTTTTATGCTTTATAAATTTGATACTGAAAAAGAAAACTGGGCCTGCGATGGGCTGTAGAAAATACTCCAGGCAGAAGACTGCTTGTAGAGAGATTAGTCTATTGATCACAACACATTAACATTAGCATTAGGTTGTTAGATGCTTGGTGTCGAGATATCAGCCGGATGCTCCATCTTTGAGAATAGTTGACATTTGCTAACTTTGATACCGAAAGTTGTGAATGGACTGTTTCATCATGGAGTATAAGGCCGTTTCACGCAGTAGATAACAGTTCCCCGCCATCAGTTTTTTCATCCCCGTACAGCATGCGCGTTATACATGTTTCTTCTCCCTGGAAAGGTAAATGACACTGACTGTGTTTTGTTTTGTCTCTCGGTTTGATGTCTTGTCCACAGGCTGTGGTTGCGACAGTTGCAATCGTCTTTGGAGCCACAAAGGGTGCCGATGTATGGTGATCATCTGTGTGCTGCATACATTCTTCCTGGTGTGTTTCAGTATCACGTGTGGCAGCATCTCCCTTGGAGCAACTTTGGAACTTCTACCGGGTTTGTTGAAAACTATATATTACCCTGCCTAGGACTGCACATCACAAGTCTCAACTTCTTCGTACAAACTCCTTGCAAGTTGTAATCTGTATCGTCTTATATCCCTTTTCCGCCATGTATATACGTCTCTGTTGCTGTGAACATCTCATTCGGCTTACATGTGCATATCACCAATGTTTCGTATGGCATGCTTCCAAGTTAAGGTACAAAAATAACAGTTCAATTGTGTCTCATCCTTCTCCCCCACCACGAATTTTATTTGAATTACGAAGGACCCTAAGTTGGCCACCATGGATGCTGGCTCAAATCATGGTAACAAGTTATTAACAGCATACAGCTTGACCAGTATCCTCACCAGCGCCCTACAAATGCGGCACAACATATAACAAGAGAAGCAAAGCACAGAAACAAAAGCTGATAAATGTCAATGTCCGTCTGTCTTCTTTTCCTTGCTAGCTACACTCCCCAATACCATATCTAACGATATACTAAACTTGGTTTTGCACCTACTCATAATAAAAACTGTGCAGCAGCCATGTCGTATCAACAGCGGCGAAGGCCGTCCTGCTCTTGTCCCCACCCACGGACGCCAAACTGAAGCTCCGCAGCAGCTATCAAGAACTCCACAGCCTGCTGCGGCGTCAACAGCTCCACCAGCTGCCTGACGGTCTTCAACCTCAGATCGTCCGCCTTCCTCAGAATCCCCACCAGCTTGCTCACCTTCCTCTCCACATCCTCTGTGGAGCAGCCCACCAGATCGCTCGCCCCGTCCTGCCACTCGGAGAGCTCATCGGTAATGGCGTTCTCCTCCCTCACCGTGTCGCACTGCAGCTCACTCACCCGTCGGAACTGGGTCGGGGATAGGTCGCCGAGGTCCCCTGTCTTGCGGCCCTTGAGGATGTCGACAATGTGGGACTCGAATAGGATGCTCGACTCCGTGTAGACCAGGTGGAAGAGAGTGGTGGGCCTCCAGCCAGCAATCCAGTGTAGGGATCGCTCCAAGGAAGAGGCCCACGGTGCCATGAACATCAGCAGCACGTCACGCTCCGCGGCAGCTGACTTCACCTGTGGGTTTCCGCCAGGTTCACCAACATAGATGTTAATGGACAATTCATTCCCTCCTTAGCTATAATACCGAGTGTAATTAAGTGCATACATAGGTATAATATACCTGCTGGTACAGTAGGGGATGGATGACAACAGATCATTGCAGCCGCAAGTCGGTTGCCCAAAATGGGGGAAAACAGAGAGACAAATGAGTGATCAAAGGTATTACAGAACTCAATGATCATATGCTAATCAAAATACCTCATTTTCACCTAGAATTTAATTATAATTTTGGCCAGGAGAAAAACAGCATCCACATTGATCCTTGCCATTGATTTACAAGAGCAACTACTAGGTTTAACCGAATCGATCACTAAATCTCGGAAACAGGACAATCACTCTGTATCTCTGTCCATCTCAAGTAATTGCCGTTGCCCTATCCAATCCAAACGGTCCAATCTTAATTAGCTGACAAATGACAATGATGCTACTCATGACTCGCAACGGAATCATCAACAACGACGAGATAGACTGCGTATAACGAGACAGACGAGACGACTACATATGTTAAGTATGTAGGTAGGTAGGTAAGCAGAGGGCAGGGTACCTGGTAATAGTCGGCGTAGTGGGACATGATGCTCTGCACCAGACGCGAGATGGCGACACGGTGGTCGTGGGAGGTGGGCGGGTTAGGGCACATCCGGAGCTGCCTTACCAGCTGCTGCAGCTGCTCGAACCATGTCTCGTAGAACCCGCTGAAGTTGCCGCCACCACCGCAGTCGCTACTACTCGGCCCAGCCATCAGTTAGCTAGCTAGCTAGGGTATAGCGTTATGAACACTTATCAGTTATCACCGGGGCCCTTCAAAACCGAATCAAAATTGGCTCTCTGCAGTCTCTTCTTCCCTGACTGTTTTTCGTTTCTGGGCAAACTCTCTCGCTCTCTGCTGAAGGTATGTATGTATATATGGTGGTACGTGATTTGGTGATCTAGCTATAAGCTAAGCTACGTGCAGATGGAAATTGCTTCCCAGGACAGGGCAGGGGAACTTTAATTTGGTTGCCTGTTTGGTGATGCTGCAGTGCAGATGAGATAACTACTCATGTTTTCTTCTCAGGAATTCAGACTTGGATATGGAAGGCAGGGGTTTCCTGCATGTCATCCACGTGGACACTCTGCTCTAACCACGTGGGTTCTGGCTATATGTAGCTAAAATATCACTAGTTTAATTAATATTTTGCTTGCCGGATAAAATAGTCAATCTTTTCATTACTAAAAGTTATACTAAGTCTCAAATGCTGCTATTTAAATACAGAACAATAGTAAAAATCTTTAACAAAAACCCAATATTATTAGAATACAAACAATGCCATATATTGACATTAACTCATTGGCTCCAAACCCCATTTACTAGCTAGTTAACTAGCTCAACCTACTTAACTACAAGCTCAAGGTCGTGGTCGTGGTGGCATTCTCATGCTTTCAAATGTTGTGTTTATATATTTGAACATGCCAACTTTTCCTACTCGTTGGAAGGATGTTAAGGTTTTGAAAAAATAAGAGTTGTGATAAATAGAATAAGATACAGATTCTTGATCTCCATGGAGAATGTTGAGTGTTTGATTAATTATTCTGAATCTAGCATTAATGAAGAGTTATTTCTATACCAAAGCCAACATGAATGCTTGGCCTCTGATAATGGACTCAACCCAATGAGCTGCAGATCGATTCAAAATGGAGTAATAATTCGCAGAACCTTATCATAAACTTCAAACATAACTTTTTTTATTTTATTTTGATAAATAAACTTCAAACATAATTAAAATATGTGTAATTATTTAGGAAGTTCCAAAACATTTGATACATACAAAAACATATACTTAGAATTATATGCAAGTTGCAAGGAAGAGCCAAATAGACTTACCAGGCCGGCCCAGCTACCGGCGGGGTGGCATGCATATCAGGACTTTAGGGCGAGGAGTACCGGCTGGCCGGCCGGCAGAGTTTCCTCCGTAGCCGTTTCTACTAGCTAACCCTAGCTAGAATAGAAGAAAATAATTTTTTACAGCTTCTACTTTTTAACCTACCTATACATTCCTAGTAATTTCTACCTCTTCTCTGTCTCTGTCTCTACTCCGGAGGCACCTGATCATTTGCTAAGTGGTTAAGTAGTTAGTAGTTTATGCCTTCATGATTTGTTAAAAACAAGGATTTCATTGTTGTTTTTTATTACCTTTCTTTCTTTCTTATTGACAAAATCAGGTGTTACGGATCCCAAGGCCGCCCTGCTGATAGCTAAAGGCGCGCAGTTTGATTATTCAAAGAAGTTTATATGTAGGAACATTTACATGTTAAAATAGGACTATTTATATTTATTTACTTACTTGAAATCGATATGAAACAACTATATATGTGTTAATTATTTATGTTGATTTTACTATACGTACACAGTCCTAAACCAAACCAACAACGTACGTCTCTCATTAATTCCAAACCGTCCCATATTCATCAAATTGGCAATCTCCTTTCTTCCGTTTATTTTTACTATATAAATTTCCATAGCCAATAATACCGTAAAACAACCATTCCCAAAACCAAAATGGCTGCTTTGGTAGTGAAGAAGCAAGCGTGCATCTTGATAACGCTGCTGACTTATCTCGTCATCATCAACGCCATGATGACGGCAGCTTCTGCAGGTGGCAGTACTGATCATGACCTCACCTCCGGCTTCGAATCCCTCCCACTACGCAAGAAAAACATCCGAATCCTGAAGCCGTACGACATTCCTTTGGAGCAGCGCTACAGCTTCATCAATGGCATCCACAAGTGTTGGGTTTACTCCACCGACAAGCCTCACTCTCCCGCCAGCAAAACCCTGCCAAGAACCGAGATTGGCATCCATGTAAGTATATATATATATATAGATCGATCCACCTCTATATATCACACAATTCGCTAGCTTGCCGCCTCTAATATATGCACATGCAATGCAGGGCTATGGTTACAGATCGGGAGTGTGGCAATTCGAAGGGTACGGCTACGTCCCCAAGGGCACGACGGGAGTGTGCATAATGCAGATATTCGGCGCCACCGCGCCACGTGCCTCGTCGGCCATGGTGAGAGTCTACGACGGCAAGCTCATGTTCTACCGGAGGAAGGTGCTCGCCGAGAACATCTACGACAAGTGGTTCCGGTTGAACGTGATTCACGACGTCGGAGCCTCCAAAGTTCAGATCTACATCGATGGAGAGCTCAAGTTGGAAACCAAAGATGGTGGGGGAGTTGTTCATACCTTTAAATGTGGCGTCTACGCACAGAACCATGACTCCAATTACATGGAGTCACGATGGAAGGATCTCAAGGTTTTCAGGAAATTGTGAATTTTTTAAGTACAACTGTATAACCTAAAACTTTTGAACCCGGAATCTTATGATATCAGCCGATGTACGAACATGTGATCATTTGGTATTATTATAAAAGATATATTAATATCGTATTCGAGTTTCGACTGATAATTAGAAGCCTTATTGTCCGGCAACATAGCTAACATTACATAATGTTACTATGTTCGAAATTCTATCAACTTGTCCAACTTGCACATGACTTGCACGGCCAAACTGATCACCTGGCCCGGGCATGCACAGTACCATTACCGGTCCAGTACTTAATTTCAAGTCCACCGAATACCGATCACTAGGCCGAGACACAAGCGGTTGATTGGGCTGTAGTGTCTCTTGATCTTTGTTATAGACGACGGCCCACTAACCTTCCTTGTGTATAGCCCACTGATCGTTTGAATGTCTCGCTCCATTCCACCATTGATCTGTTCATTAGTCTTTTTGATGTAGATTAGTAGTAAATTGTTAAATGTATAGTTTTTATGTTTGAACTTTCAACCCTAAATACATACTCGAGTTGGTAATATTTGTTTAAAAATATAAGAGGTGTCTTATAACAACTCTAATATAGGCGGGCTCTATTTATGAATGGGTTACTACATTTTTGTCAATTGGTTTTTTATGGTCTACAAAAGGAGAAGTGAAGAGGAAATGTGGAGAGTAAGAAAAACGTATGCGAGTAAAACGAAAGTCTATATATGTGGCGATAATTTTAAAAGATTCATAATAATTTAATGATGAACTACTATATGTTCAGTAAAATACATCCTTAAAAAAACTTGTGTTTGCTTTCCCATTCCTCAATGACCGTATCAACATGGTTTCCCATCTAATTTAGTGATGTTGATGTAATTTCTTGGCGGCATCAATCACACAGAAGGATTGGAAGGCTACAGTTGGCGATTGTGGTGATGATAATTAAGACAGTTGTTGTTTTCTTCTCCCTTGAGCAACAACTGCCAATTTACAGTTGCATATTCGACCGCAAGAAAACACTTGTTTTGTTCTCTACTCTTGGATGGAAATGACTTCTTCTTCCTTGCTCCACCCGCCACAATGGTCGATTTAGTTTCCTATTGATTTGATCCTAAGGATTTGTGTTCCTGTAGGCTGTATATATATCGATCCTAAGGATTTCCCCCCGTATCACCTAACTTCTTTACTCACTTCATTAAAGAATCCTCCATATCATAAAAACAGAGATAGTATTTTCTTCTGAAATCTAGTCAGATACTTCTCTGGTTATCAGATTTTGGGCTATCTTGAAATTAACAGCTAATCGTCATTATCATGAGCGGGGACAAGATCAAGAGAGCTGGATTTGGGATGCAAATGGATCAGCAACAACAAAGTTTCCAAGGAATTAGCATTGTGACTGAGGCATATGCCGCCACCAACAATCCTTCTTCCCAGCAGCAGCTTCCTGTCACGGGCCATGTTGTGGTTCAGAGAGGATCCTCTGCCCTCCCTTGCTGTGGTATTGGCCTCGGTTGGTTCTTGTAAGTGCTGCTGATCTACTCTTTCCCGCACTCTTACCAAACAGTTCGTACTAATAACTCGATTGGTTAAGAGATCAACTCGTAGCTATATACCTCTTTCAAAAAAAATGAGTCCCCTTTATTGAATTTGATGTATGTTACGAGGTTGTTAGGATTTGAACACAGAACATGTATCAAATTTTGAGTTTGATATAAATCGATCCATCGCCATCTCGATATCATATTATTAGAGCTCCATTATATTACCCAATTCTAAAATTTATGATTTGAGCAGGTTTATATTGGGATTCATATTGGGTGCAATTCCATGGTATGCTGGGGCTTGCGTTTTCCTCTGTGCCAAGTATGACAACCGCGAGAAGCCTGGACTGATTGGTTGCTGTGTTCTTGTAAGCCCTGCTTTCCTTAATTTCCTTTTCTCTATTTTTTCATATGATAACATTTACTAATTTCTACAAACTTCATTCATGAATTAGTACCAATTTTTTGTTACTTCCACTAATTATAATCGTTTATAAACTAATTAAGATTCCCTCCTCTTTTGGTGCAGGCGGCTTTGTCGACGGTGCTAGCTATCATTCTAGTAATATTATCTGTAGTTTGAATTAATACTAATTTATAATTATAGTTCTAAGAAGAATGCTAATAGACCACAGTACTTGTGCTATGCACATGTGATCCGATATGATTTAGCTTTGCTATATAGCACTATACATATACATGTATCTTTGGCAATAAGCGAATAAATAAATCAATATTTATTATTTATGAATGAATACGTATTACAAAGTTCAATTATCTATATATGCATGTTTTATAGGGGTTTTTTTTTTACAAAGGATAATTTTGTACTGATTAAAAACGAGATCGAACACATTACACCCTGTTATACAATCAGGACATAAAATAAAAAAATGACACGCAGTCGGGTACAAAGAAATAACATTCATAACCACCAAGTTCTCCTTAATTTAGATTCTATTTATTGTGGGGGAAAAATTGAAAGGAAGAAATAGAATATCGATTGTGTATAATGCTAGATTGGAGAAAGAAAAGTTAGAAAGACTAAGTTCTCGTGAAAATGCAAAGGACCTTCTCTCCGCCACAAACAATTACTGATGGCAAGTGAAAATTAGGTTTCCATGATGTGACATGATCATTAATCAACAAAGCCTTCTCAATAGCATACCTTTTCTCAACTTTCTGGCTAAGATCAAGTGTAACAAAGGCTTCGCATCGTTTGGATTCTCATGGCATTGGTTAGATTTGGTTTTGTTTAATCTCTCGTTGCTAATGGGACTTGGGGGGTTTTTTTTTTTGGTTATGGGCGTAATTGTTCGCCCTAAAGTTTGTATTAGGAGATTATAAAAAAAAATTGTATTATGTGAAACGTGGTGATATTATTGTTCCAACATTTCCATCCTTTGAAGTCTTATTAACAAGAAAGGTTGAAGAATGTTTGAGACTACTTCGATTTTAGATGGCTTCTTCACCATTATCTTTTGATCTTAAAATGATGTTTTTCCTTTGAAATGTAAGGATAACGAAGGTGACTATTGAAAATGAGTTTCAAAGTAATAATATGATCATTTAAGTAATTTGAGTTTCTAAACCTTATTGATTCAACACATAAGACACTTGTCACTGGAGTCATGATCTCGTCAACACATTTTTTACTTCGGGTAGAAGAAGTGGAGGTTGTTTAGCTATCAATACCAAATACTACACATTTTTTCTTCTTTCAGCGTTATTTCCCATTTGGACCCCTGAATCTCTCATGTTGTAATTGATTTCCGCTTTTTATTTAGCTCACCACTATTTTCTATCTTTTTTTAGTCATTTCATTTACACTCAAAGTTTGCTTTTTCTTTGTAGCTTAAGGATAAGGAATGCGTCAATATGAATTACGAGTTTCAATCAAAGATGACCATTCAAATCATTCAAGTCTTCAAATTCAATACAGTTAAATATTTGTCACGACATTGAAGATGTTAAAATCTAACAAAAGAGTTCATTCATTAACAAAGCAACTCATTTATTAATCGAAATATAGCTCACAAACTCATATAGCTGTGATTTGATATCTGTCTATGGATAAGAACTAGAGAGCCTCATTATACCTCTCTCGTCATAACAAGTTTTATGGTCAAGTCAAGTAATTGGACATGACATTTTCGTTTCTATTGTATTCTAGTGTAGCATTAATTATAGTATTCATCCGACTTGATGTTGGTGAAAGCCTGACAGGAGCAGAGGGTGCAAATCCTAAATAGGATAAATGCAAGTATAGAAAATAGAAAAGGCGGTCAGGACTAGCTGCCGTGCGAGTGCGACTTGCTGGTCATGTGATCAAAATCTTAAAATACTCTGCTTTCTCCCCTGCACATTACCCGCCCCAATTGTCTCCTTTTGTCGTTGCCTGCTTTGCTTCCCTCGTTCTTGCTCAATGTCGGCTACTTACGACTTCTGTCCCTCCGAAAAGCTTTCTTTTTTAGTTTACCCTCCTTCTTGACGTGCTGCGTTCGCGTTTTCTCCGGGGAAAAAGCCTTCATCAATCGCCATCATCACAGTTAATTAGTTCCATACACTTCCTTACAAGAAATAGGGGAAACAGAAGAGTTTTAGTTTCTACCGTTAGTGCTTCAACAGGAAGAAGAAACGGTCCCAATCAAAATCTCAGCCCTACGGAGTTCCAGATGCTGCGATTTCACTCGGGATTCAGCTTCGCTTTTGTGGGTTCCGATGTGGGTTCAGATTTAATTTCGAAGACCGAGCGTTATTTCCAGTATCTGTTTGCATCTGAAGAGAGTTAGCACTTAGCACGAACTAAGGGTAACTGGGTAAGTGTGGGAAGAAGAGAAGTGGCAAGGCTTTTGCTGGAGATTCTGGATTTGACAGAGATGTCGATTATGCACCATGTGGGCATCGTCCTGTTTTTCCTTTGGGCGCTCTCTTGCTTCGGTTGGACTCACCTGATCGCGTACTTCGTTTCTTTGATTTATCTGTTTCTGGTAGGGATTTGCTCCTTTTCTCCTCGTCATTTCAAGTTGCTTGATTCCTTAAGTTCATTCTAATTGGTGTGTTCTTTCAACTGATGAGGATAGGTTCACGAGAGATATGTAAGGAAATTGAGGACAAATCTGCAGTATGAAGAATCGAAACAAGCTAATCGAAAAAGGGTAAAATTTCCCACTTGCTGCTTCTTATAAATCTTGTGCTTTATGGTATTTGATTTAGGTCTACGTTTAGGGGTTATTTCCCCCCTTTTGGAACTCAAGATGTTTCATTTGTCAACTTACATGCTTTGTGCACTTGCTTTTTCCAGTTGCTTTCAATGTGATTCTCCTGTCTTGGAGTTGATTCGTGCTAGATGCTGACATTCATATGGCGGTTGCTTTTGTTTTGCTGGTTTCATTTTTGGCTTTCCATTAGGTGCTATCTGATTCTGAAACAGTGAGGTGGCTGAACCATGCGGTGGAGAAGATATGGTCTATATGCATGGAAGAGATCACTTCACAGAAGATTCTTCTCCCTATCATTCCTTGGTTCTTGGAGAAGTACAAACCATGGACTGCTGTACGAGACTAGTACCTTACCTTGTCCCTCTGTTTAGCATATGGTTACTGCTTCAAAAGATTGTAGCTTTCTTTCAAGTGGAGGCATTTCCTTTGTGCAATTTGTATTTTGCTTTTGGTAGCAACAGGAGACTTTTTTGTATCTGATTGAGATGCCTTGTGCCCTTATCCACAGAAAAAGGCCGTTGTGCGGCATTTATACATGGGGAGAAACCCGCCAATGTTCACCGAAGTGAGGGTTCTTCGCCAATGTACTGGTGATGACCACTTGGTATGTGTCCTTAAGCATATGGAATTTCCTTCCTATTTTTTCTATATATCTTTCTCCGTTATCTATTTGTTTGCTCATGAGGTGACAATTTATGCAGGCATTGGAGATGGGAATGAGGTTTTGTACAGCTGATGATATGCTTGCAGTTCTTGCTGTAAAATTAAGGAGAAGGCTGGGATTTGGGATGTGGACAAAATTGCATATAACAAGCATGCAAGTGGAGGGGAAGGTATGTGTGGCCTATGGCTTCACTAAATCTAAATCTGGGGTTACTCGCAAGTTGTTGGATTTTGTGGATATTAGTATAATGCCAATTCTGGCAGTGGCATTTATGGTAACAAAACTTGGACAGCTAGTTGGTGTTGAGTCTCGAGTGACTAGAGGAACAGTGGCTATGTGACGTTAGTTCTAATAAGTTGCCTTGAGAGAAATTGTCTGACTCTTGATCATGGATCATTTCCATGTTGCACCTGTTAGTAGTATGATCCAATCACATCACTGTTCATAATCATATTTGTGTGTCCAAATGAGCTCTATTTATGAGCTACTGGTATTTCCCTATGTAGGCTGCAGTCTATTGTTGAATTTACATGGTAGATCTGGATGATTCTCATGTTTTTTTTTCTTGTTAGAGAAATTTTGTCCTTTCTGTCTTTGATTGCAGCAGGACGATCTGTTAATTTACAATATTTCTATGGCCAGGGTAATTGCGACTAAATTTACAAACATTCCTTCCATGCCTGTACTTTTTTCCTCGGGATGGGTTTGCTCAACTCTGTTTTTTGTTTTTGTTTATGTAGGTGTTGATTGGAATAAAATTTCTACGTCGCTGGCCTTTCATTGGACGTTTACGAGTATGCTTTGCTGAGCCACCCTATTTCCAAATGACGGTGAAGCCCATCTTTACCCATGGGGTTGATGTTACAGTGCTTCCTGGGATTGCAGGGTGGCTAGTGAGTCCATCTATATTCATTTTGAAAGAAAAAATTTGGTTTTTCCTTTCCCACCTCTTTCTTTGGAAGATTTTCATATTAAACTAATATGGTCAATATGTTCTTTTACGAAGGACAAGCTTCTGTCGATGGCATTTGAGCAGACCCTGGTTCAGGTAGAATAATGAACTGATCATGTCCATTGAACTAATATCTAATTGGCTGCAACATATCATGTGCTCTTACTATGAAATCCGGAATTATGTCTAGTTCCTGATAAACAATGCTTTTCTTTTGCAGCCCAATATGCTAGTTGCTGACATGGAGAAATTTGTTTCACCTTGTCAAGGTATAGTGATTTGAGTTCCCCTTTCTTGCATCTTCGGATCTTAGTATGATGGCATTGTAGAAGATTTATGATGCATATTAGGTGAAAGACAACCATTAATATATGCCAAGTGTTAGACCTTATGCTTGTGATCTGTTCATATGATCAGAAACTTGGTTCTCTGTTGATGAGAAGAAGCATATCGCTTTTGCAAAAGTTGAAGTTATTGAAGCATCCGACATGAAACCATCAGACTTAAATGGTTGGTTCTAGAAAAGAATTGCTCTCCGTTCTTTCTATATTCACCACCTCTCCCTTGTCTGGAACACTGATTGAATTCAAATCCTTATAGGTCTAGCTGATCCGTACGTGAAAGGACAAGTTGGTCCCTATGGATTCAGGACAAAGATCCAAAGGAAAACTCTGGCTCCCAAATGGCTCGAGGAATTTGAAGTCCCCATTATTACTTGGGAGTCACAGAATGTTCTAGCAATTGAAGTTCGTGATAAAGACCACTTTATTGATGATGCCCTCGGGTTAGCCTCTTGTCCTCATCAGTAACTAACTGGAGTTCTTCTTGTCTTTCACCTGACAGTTAAACCATCTTTTTATATGCTTAATGTTTGCAGGAAGTGCACCGTAAATATTAATGACCTGAGAAATGGTGAAAGACACGACATGTGGTTGCCCCTTCAGGACATCAAAATGGGTCGACTGCATCTCGCCTTAACTGTGCGAGAGGAAAAGAAGGTGTTTTTCTGGTAATAAAATCTCTTCTGTGGGAAGCTAATAACCAAGTTGCATGCAATTAATGCAATTCCTTTTCAGGATGCCACCTGTTCCATAGAAGGAGAAGAAGCGATGAACGAGCGAGAAGCACATGAATCTTTTGCCAACGACGCTACTAATCGATCTTCATTCTCATCTGTGACGTTGGAATCCCAAAAGGTATCTGACAACTTTGAGCCAATCAACGTGGAGGGACAAAAAGAGACCGGGGTATGGATCCATCACCCCGGCTCCGAAGTGTCACAGACTTGGCAGCCAAGAAAAGGAAAAAGTCGGAAAAAAGTCGAGTACACTCAGAGCAGCAAATCCTTGGGCGACTCATTCGGGAGCAGTATTTCATCCGGAGTACAGTGCAACGACAGCAGTAGCACCGATGAAGCTGATGTCGACGGTAAAAGGCCAGGAAATAAAGTTCGCCGAGGTCTACGTAGGATCACAGCAGCATTACGTGGGACTCCAAAAGTGGAAAGTTATCATCTAGGCGGCAACAATAATGAGGAAGTTGTTCAGTCTCCTTACGCCAACATTCGAGCAGCAAATCAGAAGGAAGGTGGGGTGAAGTTTGTTGTTGAGGATAGCCTCTCCGGACAGATACCTAATAAGCAACCAAACTCGAGTCCCGACTCAACTTGTAGTCCGGGGAAGGGCGGTAAGAGGGAGAAGAGGAAGTGCATTTTGAAACAGATGGAGAAGTCGGCTAGGAGCTTGAAGCATGTGCTATCCAGGAAAGCATCCAGAGTGTCTCGAGGAGATGGTGGACCGAAGTTAGGGGCTGAGCTAGCAATGGATGCTGAGTTGGACACTTCCGACGAAGATGAAGAGGATGAATCTCGACCTGCTGTTGCTCAGCCAGTTATTGTTGGCAATCCCATCACGTCGTGCTATGGGAGCAACGAAGATTCGGACAATGGGAAGGCGAAGGAGAAGAGTGGTGAAACTGGAGCGAGTGAGGATTTGGCGAAGAATGAAGAGCTAGGTGATCATGTGAATGGGAATGGTGAAGGCACAGAAAGGAAGGTGATCAATAGGGAAGTGGGTAGCTCGGAAGCAGACTACAAGGTACAAGAGGGGGAGACATTGAAGCCTGCTACTGATCAAGTGGGAGTTGAGAAGAACAACGTGGAGGAAGAGAAGGTCAGGCAAACATAGAATACTACATGTTAAAAAGGAAGAGAAGAGATTTTAGGTTTCAGTAGTGATGGTTGAATGAATGTATATATATATGTAGATCAACGCTGTGGTTTGCGTGCAAATATGATGTAAATTCATCCTCGGGAAACATCTTTCGTTGTTTACCATGTTTTGGGATCGTATGGATTGGAGAGTCGAACAAAGGGCAAGGGCGCTTCTTTCTAGCGCACCGATAATTGTTGATTTTCGGCTTCTGCTTCCTTCTCTCCAGTGATTTCACGTACAATTTTATTAACTTCAGCCTGTAAATCACAATACTCCAAACAATGTCATTTCAAGCACATTTAATATGTTCTAATGTCGCCAAATTGATGAATAAGATATTGTTTAAGGAAATCGCAACTAATCAAATTAACTAGTCTTTATTCATTTTCTTCTATTGTGCATGGAAATTGACGAATAAGATTGTTGCAGGAAGTAACGACGAATCAAATTAAAATTCTTAAAATTCCCAATTTTTACAAACAACTACGTATTATGTGAATAGAACATCCATGATGATAAATTGATTACGAAATTAGCAAATATGAGATAGCAAGAAAAACATTTCGTGGCTTCTAAGTTCTAACCTAAATAAAGAGAGAGAATTTTTTCCGACCCCACAGCAATATATTAGGTAGTTGCCAAAACTTAACAAAAACCTAGAAGGACGCGGCCATATAAATATACGTACATACATCCCATCGGCCATCACTCGCTGCCGCCGCCGCTCTCTCTGTCTCTCTCATTCATTCTCCTGGTCGGGACAACAACATGGCCTCCTCCTCCGCCGTCTCTTCCGAGAACAAGCAGCAGGCTCCACCTTCTCACGTTGAGGAGGAGGAGGACGACGACGACACGTGGGTTTGGGTTGATGAGAAGGAGGCGGCGGCGGAGGACTATCTCCCTGCTGATCATAAATCCCCTAAGAATATTAATGACGACAATAAGAAATCAGTATCACAAAGCACCAATAGTAGTACTGTTTGCGGGTTGGTATCGCTGTCGGAGCTCTACCATGACGGCGGCGGTGGTTACGAGTCCGGGACGGAGGAGGAGAGGGCGGAGTTCATGGAGGATCTCAAGTCCTTTTACAGAGGCACCAACATTTTCCCATTGCTTGATACCTCCCGCCCTGCTGCTGATCAACACCTCAATCTCCTCAAGTAATGATTATCAATTCATTAATATATAATTATTCACTAATTCATCACCAATGCCCTTTCTAACAACTTAAACATTGTTGAAATAATTTGATAGGTTGTGGAGGGCTGTGACTAGACTTGGAGGCTATCAACAGGTTCATTTTAATTTCTCGCGACAATATATTTACGATTTTAATTGGTTTGTGCAATTGGTAATTAATAATAATAATTCTGGCTTTGTGGTTAAGTGGTAGACTAAATTTGGTTTGGTTTGGTTTGGTTTGTTCTTGTTGGGTCTGAAATGTGCATGGTGCAGGTGACATCAAGCCAGATGTGGCGCCAGGTTGGTCAGTCACTCCGACTCCCTAGGTAAGATTCGATTGCAATGCATGGTTAGGGAATTAGGGTTTTGGAAAATTGTGGGTTTGGGAAACTAGGGCTCTGGAAATTTGTGGGTTTTGGGAAATTAAGGTTTTAGATTGTAGGAGGAAACCGTAAAAATAACTATGGCTTGCCTTGGAAAACATTTCACCACTTAATTAGCATGTACGAGTTTTCTTAACACATTTTTCTTGTTTTATTTATGTAAAATTGGGTTATTCGAATCTTTCAGATGGTAAACAATTTTTGATAAATTTAAATAATTTACTACGAATCTTGCAAAACAACCAACGTATTTATAACGTATTCGTGCGACTTCGTATGCAAAATTAATCAAACTACATAGCTACCATATATACATACCATCTAATAAACTGAACGTAATTTCTTCCACATAGAGCCCGAGACATACTCACATAGCCGTGCTTTAAATGTTTTGGCAATTGTCTTATGGCTAGTAAAAACTGTGCATACGCTAAGATTTGCATATACATGGCTGATAGTTGGTCTTTGTTTATTTGGGCAAATCCACAAGTTCGTTCATACAGTTTAGCTGAGTGGACTAGCTGGGAGATTTTGTCAGGCCCTAGATTTAAGGTCTAGCTATTACTGTTCATGTTTCCAGAGAGAGCTCTTCATTCTCTCTAAGGACTAAGATGTTAATATGTGATATGCACTTCCCGTGAAACCCTTGTGTTCTCGTGAAACTGAGACTTATGTATACATGCTTTGTCTACTGCGTTACAGGGCTGTCTCGTGGTCGACAGTACGAAGCTTGTATGAGAAGGTCCAAAATACCTACCTATATATCTTGTGTTCTCTATCTATGCATGCCTCAACTCTTTCAGATTAATTATTGAACTCGCATGCAGTGTGTTATGTGTATGTACAATGATCTGAAACCGCATATCGATCCATTCCTGAATATTAATTAATTGTTGCATGTCATCTATCTATCTATCTATCTATCTGCAGGCACTACTTGGGTATGAGAAGCATAAACTGCCCAATACTACTGCTGATCAGCTGCTTCTCCCTAATGCTCCATTGCCTGCTCCTGAAAACCAGGTCAGATAAATAATCAGTAGCCTACATGGAATTAGATACAGTGTTGCTTTAATCTCTTAGTGCATCATCCTCATATCATGCATTAATTAATGTCTATATATAATACTTGCATCATTTCATGATAATGCAGCATACTGATGATCGGATGGGATGGCAATCCGACAGCTTCATGGATTGACGATCATGCGTGGAACTAACCAACCAACCTAGCTGAATGGATGAATGAATGTGTGTACTGCATGCATGCATGTTGTTTGTGTCGTTCATTTTATCTGTGGGGAAAACGGTGTCGAGAATCGGCTACCTCACTCATAATTAATTTCCTGCCTGCGCATTATCAGAGTTGGCCTGGTGTGGTAGAGGAACAGGCAGTTCAAAAGCGCGTCCCTTTTGCTGCCTAGCTAAGGTCCAGTTCCTCGTGGTCAACTGATGAGGATTTTTTGTTGTTGTTGTTGTTGTTAGTATCCCAGTGGTGCTTGCTTGATCGGGATTAATTAATTAATTAAGGACCTTGATTTTGCTTTTGTTGTTGTTGTAAACCCTCAGATGGACTAATCGATTTCCCTGGGTTTGTATGGAATATGGATGGGCAAAGCAGCATGTTTCGTTGGATTGAGAAACCAGAGATTCATGTTTTCTTGAGAGCTTTTTTTTTTTTTTTTTTTTGAGAGCGAGATTCATGTTTTTAAGGGTTAGTTTAGTAGCCATTGTGCTTAGGTTTTCGCTATAATTAAGAAAGAAAGGTTGCATTCATGGCACATTCTTAAGTTTGAGGGTGTACCCTAATACCCAAATTTATATTCGTTCATAGCAATCCCAATCTTCATCTTCAAACCAATAAGAAAACATAAAAATTGACGACACACTTACATGTTAATCATTTGATAAATCTATATAATAATAATCATCATTAAGTTACAGATTTATGAATAAAAATGTACAAATCAATTTAATGTCCTGATTATATCATGATGTTGAACTAATGTCAGCGATCAATTTGATGTTTAGAATAAAGTAATTGTAGTCTATGATTCATAAAAAATAAAAAAATAGTCTATGGCGTGTAGGATACACCTAAAATCATGGTTTACTATAAACACACCCTAAACTATAATATAAGACATTGCTTCAAGTTGAGCAAGACAAAAGGTTAAGTGCCGTTAAAACTTCCTTCATTTTCACTTAGTGTGAGCTATTCTAATATTCCCTGCTAAAAATCTGTCTGTTTCTCTCTATTTACTCCAATAACGTGAATGGAAGGAATTCAGTGAAATACCCTTCTCTTCATCACTAAATCAACTATAGCTGCACAGAAAACCGAAATATATAGAAAGCCAAGCAGATTGATTTATTTGAGTGTTAGATTCAATTATGGGATCCTTTCCTTCCTTGAGCTGCTTTCTCATCTCTGCTTCTTCTTGCCCGCAAGAATGGGTTGGATTTGGAGATGTCGATTGAAGGCTTCGTTGAAAAGGAACCGGGTCTGGAAAGCAGAGATGATTGGAAGCCATGCTAGAACTGCAATGGGAGTCAGCAGAATCACACCCATCCCATAATCATATGCCTTCGCCAGTACTTGTGTGAATTCCCATATCACTGTTTCCTCTATCATGGGCCTCACTGCTTGTGCTATCTGGAAGCACCAACCACACACAGCAACCAACATCAAATGGTTGACCGCTCAGAGTTGAGAGTAAAAAAAAACCCAGATCAGTGAGGAGGGGAAACAATGTTCATTTGAGCTGTAATAAACTTTAGGGTGACTGTCAAATTGGTGACCAGAGTATATGGCTTTTGACAAATTTGTAACTGAAGTTGGAAATAGATATCGAAATAACTAAAATAGAAGTCACTCCATAAGTCAGTTCACAATCAAAAGAACCCTTACCAGTAACAGGCCCCATCCGGTTGGGATGAAAGCTAGACAGCAGATGATCAAATCCTTCAACGACAGGTGACACAGTATTGAGAGAGTTATTATGCTGGCCACAATAGCAATGAAGAGGAACGCCTTGAACAAACGGAATCCCAAGTGGTATGTAGCACTCAACTTTCGCCTCCCCAAGTCCACACCCTGCCAATATTTCCCCAGAAAACACACATCAGAAAGATAGAAAACATACTTTAGCTTCTGCGAGTTTACATGTATAAAACTGGTCCGAAACGAGCACAATATGCCAAAGAAAGAAAGAAACTTTCTTACCTTGACCAATATAAACATAACGCCAATCACTACCCATGAAAGCACATAAACCAGAACATTTCTGCTATTTTGAGAGATGTCAAGGTGATAAACCAGACCATACTGGTACATGAAGAACCTAATCGATAGCAGTATCTCAACAAGCCTCGCCCCTACCCCAGCTTGACGCAGGTGGGCTTGTTCGTCGTTCCACCATGACTGCCAACTCTTGTCCTGTTGAATTCCAATACCACCTTGTTGCCTGATCCATTTGTTCCAGTCTTTCCAGTCATCCACTATCTTCTCCCAAGTGAACCCTGATGGGTTGAACAGAAACGGCGCGAACAACCAAGTGATCGACATAAACCAAACTGAGTAAGTGATCAAGACGTATGCCATTGTACTCTGGTACGACCTCCTGAACAGATCATAGACGACTAGCAGAAGGACGAGCTCGAAACCTTTCACAAAGTGGCTTCTTGAATATAACCTGAAGTTCATAGTTAGTATAACACAATACCGAGAAGTCACGACATTTTATGCGAAGAGATATCATAATTCATCTTAAGCTAATAGCATGACTAAAAGTTCAGGCATCAGGCATAAGATATATTAGAACCTGAATAAAATACAGGTATTCTACGCATTCTAACTGACTATAACCTGAAGTTCTCGGTGAAACTGGCATGGAAAATAACCACTTTACGCCCTGTTGGTCTGTACTTGGCACCTCCATAGAGAATTGTTCGTCCATAGTAGTGGATTTTGGTGCCCATAGAGAAAGTGAAGAAGACAGCAGCCAGCTGCAGTTGCATGAGTACGAAGTCTTTTAGTGCCGTGAGGAATCCTTTCTCAAGACCAATCTCCATTACCATTGGTAAGCCAGTTAGGAGTCCGAGCTGGATGAAGGATTGGGAGGCCAGAGCTGTCTCCAACGACTGGATGTCGTGCATTCGGGCCTCAAACAAAAGGGCCTTCTGCAGCCCACTGAGAACAAGGTATAGCTGTCCGTAGAGGAATACATATACACCAATCACTGAAATCTGCAGAGTTTTTGCATAGGAATGCACAGTTAGCCACTGTATAACAAGGCCTGAACAGATAGCATGCCTAGGGCTAGGGATCACATGAAGTCAATTCTGTTAAATTCAACAGATATGACACTAAATTCATCAAAACACCATTCAAGAGAAGAGATATGGAAAATGTGTTACCAAGCTACTGAAGTAAAATCCAATGGTGGTGAAGTAACAAGATAGCATTCGGAAGAAATCAAATCCTTGAGCAAGCCGGTAAATGTCACGGCTTAGAGTTTGTTCACTGTTTCCATTTGCTACTTTGGCTTCGAATTTCGAAATCTGATTCAGGCCCACATCTCGACCTTTTCCAACTTGAAGGTACTCATGATAAGTGATGCATCCCCGTCGTAAGGTAGAATTAAATCCTGCATTCAATTGGGTATAGTTAGCTGGAGAAAGGCAAAAGAAGAGAAGAAGAAACTCTGATCAAAATAATGCAGTGAAATTTGAACAGAGTTACCAGCAAATACATCCTCGCTTAGGTTTATTGTTTTTGATGCTTTACTAATGCCACCTCTAGTGATGTGAAATACCCGGTCAAACACATCAGGGTGCCCATAATGAAATCTCACCCTGTATATAGCGGAAACCAAAACAAAAGAAAATAATTGAAACAAATAGAAGCAACGAAGATGTAAGAGCAAGGAAAAAGCGGCTGAAGTGATGCACTCTTGAATTGTCTGAAATAGGAAGAATCTGATAAATAATGGTTCAAAGATGAGAGAGAAAATACCCTAAGGAATAGCCACACAAACAACATTATGATGAATACTATGATGGAGGAAGGCAACATATTACAGTAATATCTGGAATCGGTCTAACAGAAATAATACATCAGTTACCTGAGAGGATTGCTGAGAAGCCTTTGCCCAATGGTAACGAAGCTCGTCTCTTGATAGGACATGAACCATGCCAGAGAAGACACACTGTGAACAAAATAAGAATAAAGCCTTTCACCCAGTAACCTCAGCAAACATACAAAAAAGGCTAGTAGACAAGTAAGAGTTCATGTACCAACTCTTCCAACCACTCTACAAAGGAACCATAGAAGAGAGGAAGGAAAAGGATAAAGAGAAAAGAACACGGAAACATAGATGAATGATTCATCATCCATTTATCCAAGAGATAAGAAAATGGTTTGCATAGTAAGAGTTCAAAAATCCATGGTCCTAGGTGGAACCATAAGAAAACCAGTTTTTAGCTAGCTAGTAGACGAGGTCGCTTCAGAAGGAGTGCCTGGTTTGCTTTCTATTGATGTTACTAGCTTCAAGTATTCCTTTGAATTTGGCAACAACTAACATTGACATAACTTGTATAGCCATACACAAGAATAAACTAACAGCATCTGATAAGAAGGTATAACCTGCCAGTGAATATATTTTCCCTTAGACCAAGTATTGAGGGAGCTCTTCGTCCTTGCCGCTTAAGAAATTCTTGCAAAAGATTTCTCATCTTATAAGCTTCTTCAAAATAATTATCCTGCAAAACACCACCAACTTTAGGATAAAATGCTTGGATTATGCTAACCATATAGTCATTGAGGCAGAAGAACATACTTGGTTCATATCAATGGTTTGAAGAGCTTCACCACGAGTAAATATTATGGCATGATTCTGATTTTCAGGTTTGCCTTCTCCGATATTGGGTTGACCAGGTAGCTTTATGCGATAAATTTCCTACATTGATAAGCCATAAGATGACAAAGTGTGTGTAACAGTGGTTCCATGCAGAAGAGGCTTCCAAATAGTAGATTAACAATTGACAAACCAGAAAGCCTGAGCTTAAAAAAATAGGCTTCAATATTTAAATCTTAAGGAAATAAGTCGCATTTGTACAATCCATGGACAATAGCACAACTTTTGAGGAACTCAGTACCTGATCCAATCCATTGACACCTTTAATCAATAACGAAGAATAAACCTTATCGCCATTCAGAACTTCCTTCTCCTCGACATAAGCAACACGAAGAGATGGATACCTTCAACCAGAAGTAGTTTGGGTGTACTCAGAGATTGAACGATTTCACTACCATCCACTGTTTTCTCCTTTTAGAAAACGAAGATTACCTGGTCATCAAGTCAAGTACATCCATTGCACGGGGATCTCCAGCAGCCTTCAGCAAACCGAACTTTTGAAATGAAAGAACGTAAGAGAACTTCATGTCTGCCAGCGCATCTAATTGTGCAGAC